AAAAACTCTAATTTTCATAAATTAATTAAATAAATTCTTTAAAATAAAACGAGGCGTTACACCAAACAACAGCTCTGGGTCGAGGGGACCGAACAGGCGGAGGGGGAGCCACCCTGTATCGGTGCGGTGGCGTGCAGCCTGTCCAATCACGTGCAGAAAGCCTGCCCAACGCTGTGAGGAGCGAAATGTGTCTCTCCACCTGCAAAACAATGTGAGAAAGCAAGAAAGTAATATCCCTATGCTTCGCACTATTCCTTTCCGTCCAGGTGAACCAAAGGATCAGACAAGGAATGAGGAAGCTCACGTGTCTAAAGTGTGTGCTCTGTGAGAAAAAACTCAAGAGCTCAAAAAAACTATCTGTGGAGGGTAGGGGTATATGAGTCCAAGTAGTAAAATGCTCCCACACTCTCCTCACAATCTCACTCTCTAGAAAAAGGTGGGTAAAGGTCTCGGTCTCATGACGTCCGGTCTCAGAACAACACACACATCGGGAGGGGAAGGAGATCCCCCTCGCATGTAAAACAGTGTCCATGGGTATCCGGCGCAAGAGGAGGCGCCAAAGGAAAACAGATATGGTAGGGGTGAAAAGGTCGCTCCAGATGGCTCCGAAGAGAAGATTCGGCCGATCTCTCAGCCTGATCTGCTCCCAAGCCGAGGTAGTAGAAAACACACCCGATGATGTAAGTCTCCACCTCATACCATCCGAACCGTCCCCCGAGATGGGTATTTGCTGGATCCTATCTAATAACTGCTCACTAAAACCCACCCCGGAGCCGCATTCTCTATCAAGCTTCCCCCTATCCCACGACCCGTCCGTCCAAAGGTCGCGCACCAGCAGGTAGGGGGAATGCGACACCTGCCTATCTCTAGACAATGGCCTATCACCTAACCACCACTCATCCCAGAAACTAACCTCGCCATCTCCCAAAACCCAAAAAAGGTGATCCTGGGCGCGCCTACCATCCCTAGTAAGACGCCGCCACTGTCTGCTATCATGCGCAAGCGCCGTTACCCAACAAGGGTGGTTGGCTCGTCTAGAGCAGTACTTGCCGCGAAGGTACTGGGCCCAAAGCGACTTTCCTTCCCTGAAGCGCCACCACAGCTTGTATGAGAAGGCAGTAACAATATCCCTAAGGCGACGGATGCCAAGGCCACCCTCAGGAAGGGGGCGACAAATAGAGTCCCAACTCACCCAGTGGGTACGTCTCCCCCTCCCCGAACCATCCTTGTAACCCCAGAAATAACGAGCCATGATCTGGTCAATCTCGTCAAGGGTGGACCTAGAAGGGTCGAGGACCATAAGTAAATGAAGCGGGAGGGAGCTAAGGGTGCTCTTGATCAGAGCAAGCCGACCACCGAAAGAAAGATGTCTATGCGACCAACAAGAAATCCTATCGATAATCCTCTGCCTGACGCCCGCAAAGAGCGCTCTCGTGAGGTTGCCCTTATATAAAGGGGCACCAAGGTAGGTAATGGGAAGGTCGCCGTGCGCAAAGCCAGTGATCTCCTGGACTCGCTGAGCCCACCTGTCCGCGCTGGAGGAGGAAAGGGTGAAGGTGCTCTTCTGCACACTGATCAGCTGGCCAGTAACCAAGCTATAATGCTCCAGAAGGTGCATAAGCTGGATCAGCCCATCACCATCCGCACGAGTGAAGATGATGATGTCATCCGCATAAGATAGGTGCGAGACTGGGGGCCCATAGCCACGGGTGCTATATGTCATCTGAGGATATTCGCGGATAAAGCCGTCTAGGCAGCGAGAGAGGTAGTCCGCCGCAAGGACAAAGAGGGAAGGGGAAAGGGGGTCTCCCTGTCTAAGGCCTCTAGATGCGGGAAAAAATTCTGTGGGGCTGCCATTAACCAAGACCGAGAACGTGCAATGCTCCACACACGCCTCTACAAAGCTGATCCATCGCTCCGGGAATCCTATCCTAGCCAGTGCCTCCCTAAGAAACGGCCACTCCACTCTATCATACGCCTTAGCCATGTCTAGCTTCAGCGCAATGTTCGGTGCCCGCTTCCAGTCTGCATGGGAGATATCGTGGATCATCTCCTGGGCCAAAAGTATGTTATCACTAATGACCCGATCCTTGACGAAGCCACTCTGGTTCGAAGAGATGAGGGAGGGGAGAATAGGAGAAAGACGGCCGTTAAGAATTTTCGAAATAAGCTTATTGGTCACGTTACACAGGCTAATGGGCCTGTAGTCGGACCAAGAGCTCGGATTGGGTCTTTTGGGAATCAAGACGACAGAGGTGGTCGTGAACGAATCCGGCATCCGGTGACCGGTGAAGAAATCCAATACCGCCTCCTCAACATCAGGCTCGACTATATCCCAGCAGACCTGATAGAAGAGGGAAGAGAATCCATCGGGACCAGAAACGCTGTTGGGATCAATCCCAAAAACAGCATCCCTAACCTCCTCTCTGCTCGGAAGCTCGCAGAGGTCGACAAGGTCGACCGAAGGAGGGATGGTAGGGAAGAAAGAGACGGTCGGGGCAACGAGGGACCCTCTGTCAGAGGTGAAGAGGGTCTGGAAGTGAGCAACAGCTGACTCCCGAATCTGAGACTCCTGGGTCAGGGATGATCCATTTGCCTCAATACTATGGATGTACGACTTAGCACGCTTCTGCCTAACAAAGCCCTGGAAGAACCTAGTATTCCGTTCGCCCTCAGCCACCCAGCGAACGGCCGCCTTCTGCTTCCAGAAATCCACCTCCATAAGGAGTCGGAGCTGGTACTCGGCGTGGCAGCGGTGCATCGCAGTCCTATTCTCCAGAGTGGGATCCAGGTCATAGGCCCGTTCAGCCTCCGCGTGCGCACTCTGAGCCGCAGAAAGGCGCTGATGGAGGTTTCCAAAAACATCCCAGTTCCACTGTCTTAGCCTACGCCGTAACCTGTCGAGCTTAGCTTCGAGATTGCGCATCCCGAAGAGCCCAGTCGGTTGAAGCCAGGAATCCCTGACAGTGTCATGGAAAGAGTGGTGGCGAACCCACATGTTCTGGAACCTAAAGGAAGCGCGGCGGGGAGTGCTCGAGAAGCGACACCTAATGAGGAGCGGTGAATGGTCATACCCAAATCGAGTGAGGTGCGTGACGGTCGTGACCGCAAACACCTTCGACCACGCTTCAGATATCAAAGCACGGTCGAGCCTCTCTTTGCTAGGTTAGTTATGTTTTGCTGCTAGGTTAACTGTTTCTTGTTGCTAGGTTAGTTATCTGTAGCTGCTAGGTTAGTTGTCTTTTCTTGCTAGGTTAGTTGTCTTTTGCTGCTAGTTTAGTTATTTATTGTTGCTAGGTTAGTTGTCTGATGTTGCTAGGTTAGTTGTTTAATTTTCCTCCATATTTTCTTAGAATTGGTTCACTCTGTTTAATTTTATGTATAATCAGGGTTATAAATCCAAGCTTTTAAGCAAGGTTATGTGCTTGGCTACTGATGTTGTTGATGTTATAAACTTGCTTGAAGATTGCCCCCATGAAGTGACCAAAGATTTAAATTACAAGAAGATACAACAAGCAACGGAAAATCTTATTTCTGTCAGCCCTGATGTACCCCAATCTTCTCAGAAGACAGGTTCTTTTGAAGATAGTGAAGAAACAGCTGCTTTCTGGAATGATCCAGAAACAATTGCAGCTATTGAGAAGATTGAGCGTGCTATTGGGAAGAGGCCTGCATACAAGAAGAAGACACAAGGTGATGATGTTCCCAGTTTTTCATTGGGATTGGGGTTGTCCTCCCAGTCCCAAGAGAGTGACAGAGGTTGGGAGGACATTCTAAATGTTTCAAGGCAGTTTTCAACTGATAAGAGAGATGATCATGATGATTCTATCCCCCAATTGTCTGTTGAGCCAGTGAAAATAAAGAGCCAGAGATTAGAGAGAGAGAGGAAGTGAAGAAAGAGATGGAGAAGAGAATTAAAGAAAGAAAGGATGAAGAAAGACAAAAGAAAGAGAAAGAGACAGAGAGAATTGAAGAAGAAAAAGAGATTGAGGAGAATCAACCTCTCTCTCTCTCTTTATGTTGGAGAAACAGAAGCAGAAATAGAAAGAGAGAGACACTTGAAAAAGAAAAAGGGAAAGAGAGAGAGAAGCAGGAGAAAGAGAAAGAGATGCAGAGAGAGAAGCAGGAGAAAGAGAAAGAGAAAGAGAGAGAGAGAGAAAAGAAGCAGAGAGAGAACAGAAACAGAGGGAGGAGAAGGAGAGAGAAGTCAGAGAAAGGGAAAAGAAAGAGAGAGAGCAGAAGGAGAGAGAGGAGAAGGAGAGAGAGAAGAAAGAGAGAGAGGAGAAAGAAAAACAGGAGAAAGAGAGAGAGGAGAAAGAAAGACAAGAGAAAGAGATAGAAAAGAAACAGAGTGAGGAGAAGGAGAGAGAAGTCAAAGAGAGGGAGGAGAAGGAGGAGAGAGAGAACAGAGATAGGGAGGAGAAGGAGAGAGAGAGAGAGTTCAAAAAGAAAAAGAAGTTGAGAGAGAGAGGTTGGAGAAAGAAAAAGAGAAAGAGAGAGAGAAAGATAGAATGGGGCTTGAAAAAGAAAAAGAGAAAGAGAAAGAGAGGGAGAGAATTGAGAAAGAGAAAGAGATTGAGAGAGAGAGGGTTGAGCAGGAGAAGCTGAGACAGAGAGAGAAAGTGGAGAAAGATGAGAAAGAAAGAATTCAGAAAGAAAAAATGGGGAAAGAGAAGAAAGAAGAACAGGAGAAATTGAAGCAACAGGAGAAGTTGAAAAGGAAACTGAAAGACAATGAGAAACTTGCATTGAAACAATACAACATATCAAAAGCAGGTTCAAGAGATGAAGAAATATATGATTGGATATTGCATGAAGATCCAGAGACAATGTAATTTTTCATACTTGAGAAATTTAATATAATTTTCACATTTTATTGCATTTATTAATTTTAAATTTATATTTTATTGTTCTTTTTTTATTTTTGTGCTGTCAGGTATGAGATAATATTTCAGAATGGGGATCTAATTTTAATGAAAGAAGATCTCAGGTCTTTAAGACCAGATGAATATGTCAGTGTCTCTGTACTTGATACCTGGTCCAGAATTTTGAACTTAAGAGAACAATCCAGAAAACCTGGCCAGCCGTTGAGATTTTTTGCATCAACATATTCTAGTGTAAGTTTACTTATATATTTTATTCTTATTTACTTTAATATTTTCTTGTTTTGGTATTTCCTGTTATTGAATTTACATTGAAGGTGAAATTTAGTTGTTTTTTGATGCTGCTAGGTTAGTACTCTGTGATTGCTAAGTTAGTTATCAGAAGTTGCTAGGTTAGTTATCACTTGTTGCTACGTTAGTTGTATACTGCTGCTAGGTTAGTTTTATTTCTGATGCTGCTAGGTTAGATATATGTAGTTGCTAGGGTACTTGTCTGTTGTTGCTAGATTAGTTATCAGAAGTTGCTAGGTTAGTTATGACTTGTTGCTACGTTAGATATATACTGCTGCTAGGTTAGTTTTATTTCTGATGCTGCTAGGTTACTTGTCTGTTGTTGCTAGGTTAGATATCTTTTGGTGCTCGGTTAGTTATTTGTATAACATATTTGATTAGCTTAGTTATATTTGATTTATTATTTTATAACATATTTTTTTCATTTGTTTCCAGAATTACAGTGTTCCAATCGCTGGGGAGAAATGGGATTTGAAGTCCAAAGCTTCTTTATTCATCGAGAGTTTGGATAATGATTTTAGAAAATCAAAAGCTCATTCTAAATTTGAAGATGTTGATATGGTAATTTTCATTTTAAATTGGAGTTGATTAGTTTATTTATTTACTAACAAGCTAATATTATATAATTTTTATTTTTTATCAGATATTCTTTCCTGTGTGCAAGAGTGATCACTTGTATGTGGTCTGTTTTGATTTGAAAGCATATCACATTCACATACTGGACAATTCTACTGTTGGTGGCCTTACATGTGGAAAATATGAATATCAACATACAAATCTGGTAATAATCTCTAATCTTTTTAAATTAATTTTAGAACAATGCATATACAGTTAATATTATATCATGCAATGTTAATACATTTTTAATAATTGTTCCTTTTTTTGTTCAGAAAAAACTACTTGTTGAATATTTGAAATTCCAAAAAATGCTTGAATGTGCATCACTTGTTTTCAAATTGAAGCCAGTCAGACTTGATATGCCATGGAGAGATGAGAAGAATAAAGTAGACTGTGGAGTGTTTGTCATGCGCCATATGGAAGCATATTTTGGAGCTGACGTTAAAAATTGGAACTCTGGTCTTCTAAAGGATAATCCTGAGCAGTTGAAACAAATGCGTATTAAATATTGCTCGAAAATTGTCCTAAATGAATTCAATGAGCTGAAATCAGAAAACGATAAGAAGGCAGATGTGTTTGGAGGAAAGAAGAAACCTGCCAAAAGGGTGAAGACTGTCCATTTCAAAGACAATTGACTTGTAGTTTGATTTCAGTGACAATGTTTTTCTTTTTGGATTTGTATACTTTTTTGATGTATATATTATTTTTTGATGTATATATTAGTTGTTTGAATTGCATAGTTTTCCTTCCATCATCTCCCTGAGCGATGTTTACCCTGTAAACTCTTCCTCCTACTTGGATACGTCGTGGTGGTAGTGATAAAATTTGCCTTCAATATGTTCCCTCCAGAAAGGCACTGGTATGGGCTACAAGAAGTTAATTATGCAGCTAGATGAAATTTATTAAACTTACCAAACAGACACGTTCAACATGTGCTTAATCTTGACATTGAAAGTATGTTGTGGCAGCCGACTACAATGGTTGCGGTCAATGATTCTAATTTCATAGTCTAAGTTGCTGGTTGGTCTGAAGTGCAATTTGGAACCAAGTTCAACGTCCTCTGTAACCATGTACTCACGCCAACCGTCTATAATTGTTGGGCAGCCATCAATCCTTTTTATCACAGTCTCATACGTGCGTTCTTCTAATGTATGTAAAATGCATCTCTGGGACAGATCCTCATCAGGGAAAAAGTAGTGCGTTGATGGTGGAAAGGGCTGGAACATCACAACATATTTTCTTCTTTCAGTTAAACTGTGCTTTTTAAATGTAACAGTGCATTATTAAAAGAAGAAATAAAAAAAAGAAGTTTACCATAGTGTGGAGAACACTGGGCAAAACACGCTTAGACAACCATGGCAGTAAGTATTCATTATCGACATTCCTGTGATGCAGAGTATTGTGTTCCATATTCTGTAGTCCAATATTTCAGAGAGAAAGGGGTTATGAAACATGTTATGCAATAGTTAATACATAGAACATGGTGAGGATTAAGAGAAAATTAACAGAGATTATAATTCTTATTATAAAGATTTTAATACATAGAAATTGTAGAAGATTTTCACCTTCAGCTTTGTGATGTAGTCTTCGTTGGTAGGGCGACACAAAAGTATTTTAACCCTAATTTTTGTCCACTTTATATGAAGTCTGCCATTACTGAGCAATAACTACCCGACTTAAATACCCGACTTTTCATCTGATATAAATATTGCTAGGTTAGTTGTCTATTGTTGCTAGGTTAGTTTTCTGAGGTCATAAGTTTCGAAGTAAAGAGGGTGTTGATGGATACGGGGAGTTTGGTCGATGTGATGTTTTATGACTGCTTTACGCAGATCAATAGGGAGTCGAACGTGGTATTAAACTCAGTCATAACAGCCCTATATGGTTTCAATGGACGTGAGGTGTAATAGCCCAGTTCAGTTATTAATAAAAGTGACAGTTTTAGTTCCAAGTTTGTACTAATTCCTTTTATTAATATTGCTCATTTCGAGTTCCGAGCCTAGTTATTTAGCTATTCAGTTCTAAGTTCAACTTTAAGTCGAGAGTATTCTCGGTTAATTCCAGTCAGTAGCCGAGTCATTTTTAGTTATTAATTCTGGTCCGTTTATTTTTAGAATTAGACATCAGTAGTCGGGATTAATTCTTCCAAGTTGACGAATAATCAAAATCGAGTATATTTTGATAAATCGTCTAAGTTAAGCCGTGAACAGAACCAAGTTTTTCGGTCACAAGTCTCGCGCCTAGCCAAGTCTCGAGCCCTAGAAGTGCCGAGTCTTGATCAAGCCTAGCCGTGCTTGTAGCCTTACTTAGAATTTTTCTAAGTATGAGATCATCCTTAGCGAACTCTAGGACATAGTAGTTCCTCCGGCCAAGAGACCCGCACCTAGCTCGTGTGTGGTGCCAGAGCCTCTCGCACCAAGGTCCGCCTTAGATTGAGAAGATTAATTCTCGGCCAAGTAGTGAGATCCCGCGCCAAGTTCGTGGGTCAGGCTCAAGTCCCCTCGTGTCAAGCTTTGCGCCAGTCAAGCCCTATGTTCATGCCGAGCATTATGAGAAATTTTCTAAGTATTTTGGCTCTTAAGATAAGACCTCATTAAGCCTTGGAGAGTTAGCAAGTCTCTCGGCCCAAGTCCTTAGTGCCGAGCCCAAGGAATGCGCGTTCAAGTCCTCGCGTGAGTCCATGTTCGAACCCAAGTCATGGCCGAGCTCATATGGAATATTTTCTAAGTATTTTGGGCTAATAAGTTCAGCCATTATCCAGCCTTGAAGGGTAGTCTTCGGCCAAAGAACCATGCGCACAGCCCAAGCCTAGCGCGCGCCCAGGCTCTCTCGCGCCCAGCCCAGCAGGCCGCGCCCAGGCCTTGGGCGAGCCCTTCATTGCCTAGCCCAAGTGAAAGTTTTCGGCCCAAGTCCTATGGCCCAAGTGTATGCGAGTATTCTGGAGCTAAGTAGGAGTTAATTAAGCCTAAGTCATGGTTAAGAATTGGATTAGCAAAGTCAAACATGATTAGCATGTAGTGGAGTATGGGCATGTGGAATATTTTATTCATAGTGCATGAGAATCTCTTCTCCACTACCTAGTGCCAACCAGACCTTCTTCCTCCACCACGTTGACTGCCTCGTTCAGCCCAAAGTCAGCTGCCTGAGCACTCAAACCGTGCTTCAAGACCACCCATGCGCCTAGGACCAAGGAAGTGCGCCACTTTGTCCGCATGCCTAGCTTTGGTTGCTCCGCCCCTATGCTCTATATTAGGATCACTCCTCAGCTATTTTTCATCTCTTGGACACTTAAGAAATCGAGCATACTTAGAGCATTGAGAGAAAAATAGAGCAAGGCCGAGAGAAGGTCCCTTAGCCACACACGCGCACAAGAGAGGAAAGGAAGAGGGTAACCGAGCCTTACACTACTCCAGCCAATTACACTCGTGGTCCATCATTACCATAGTGTTTGGTGGATTTTTGTAAGTCTTTAGAAGCCCTCAAACTCAGCAAATAGTCCTCGAGTTGAGCCAAAGGACATTAAGGCGCGAGAAGAGCCGAACAAAGGAGACCTAGCACCATTTAGCCTTTCGGTGAAGGTTAGCTTGTGTTATTCATTTTTCCCAGCTATAACATGATATTTTAAGATTTATCTTGAAGAGAAATGAGGTCATGCACATGCTTAAGTATGTGTTTCGAATTTTTGAAGTTTAGAGCCTTAATTTCGAATTTTGAGTAGCATGCATGATTAGGCCAATTTTTTTTTATTTTTTTTTTTTGCAGATAATAACATAATATCATTCAATCAACCGTTCAACGATACAGTTTGAAAGAAAGGAGATAGAAAAGACGGGATACAATCCTTCCACAAGAAGGATCCCGTTGATCGGATAGCCCATTTAGCTAAATAATGAGCTATAACATTGTGCTCACGACTAACATGGCTACAATTCCCACAATTCAACAACTTCAACAGATTAACTATATCCGAAAAAACACTGTGCAAGGGATCATTAGGATGTTGGCCTGAGATACCAAAAATGGTAGAAGCGGCATCAGTCTTTGCGGTTTGAAGCGTAAACCCTGAATCCAATGCAAATCGAAGACCAAATCGGAAAGCCAATGCTTCGGTTGTTTCTGGGGAAACGGATCCCGATTGTTGAGAGGCAAATGCCGCCCAACACCAACCTTCTGAATCACATATCTAACCACCAAATCCAATCGATACATCATTCACCGAAGCATCACAAAAAATAGAAAATCCATTTTGGCACGTACCTGGGCCACTCCAAGATTGTATCGATTTTGGGTTGATTATTTGTTCAATACTGGGTGAGAAGTGAGGCGCTGTTATCTCTTCCAGCCATACGTCTCCGATAACCCGAATTTGTTCCGCACTCCTCATCAATATGCCATGTTGAATGTGGTTCCGCTCATTCCAAATCAGCCACATAAAAATTACAAACTCCGATATTTTGTTTTCTCGGTCTCCATCCAGAATTGCACATAATATATGCTTGAAGCTCTTACCTCGCAAACTAGCCAACACATTCCACCAATCGACTATTTTTCACAATCTTTTAACCCAGCCACATTCAAAAAACACGTAAACATTTTATTCCCAGGCTCCACATCTAACACATTTAGCTTCCACGCCAATAGATCTACGAGTCAAATTTTCGGAAGAAGGGAAAGCCAAATGACACAGTCTCCACATAAGTATTTTAATTTTTGGTATTACCTTCATTTTCCATAACTCTTTCCACCATCGAGATGAGCTATGAGAACTCGATTCTTGAGGATCTGCTGATAAAGCTTTAAGAGCATGGTATGCACTCTTTACAGTGTATGACCCACTTTTAGAGTAATTCCAAATAAGTCGATCCGACGAACGGTTATTACTTAAAGGGATAGACAAGATTTTGTGTGCATCGATTGGTAGAAAAATACCATTAATCAGATCGTCATTCCAAGCTCCACTCACCCTAATGAGATCTTGTACGTACATAATACCAAGTACCGGTTGAGAGAAGGGCTTAAAATCATGAAAATGAGGAATCCATGGATCAAAATAAATATTTATTAGCGCCTCGTCTCCCACTCTCTATCTCAAACCTGCTCGCAATTCCTCACGTCCCCACAGAATGCTTTTCCAAATAAAAGAAGATCCCGTCCCAGTCCTGGCCTCAAGAAAATGAGTTGAAGGAAAATACTTTGCTTTAAGTACTCTGGCCATGAGTGAGTCAGGGGAAGAAATTACCCGCCACGCCTGTTTTCCCAACGTCGCTTGATTAAACAATACAAAGTCTCGAAAACCCATCCCACCCTCCTGTTTGGACATAGTCATTTTGCTCCACTTTAGCCATGATAGCTTTCGTTCTCCATTACGGGATCCCCACGAAAATTGAGCAACAATTTGTTTGATTTGATTACAAATTGCTTTCGGTAACCTGAACAGACTCATAAGATAGATAGGGATAGATTGCACTACAGCTTTAATCAGAATTTCACGGCCCGCTGAAGAGAACAAATTACGACTCCAATTATGAAGACGCTTCCAGATCTTTTCACGAGCCATAGCAAAAGTTCGTTTTTTTTTTTCTCTACCAATCATTGAAGGTAACCCCAGATATGTTCCAATAGGTGCGGGTGATTGAATTCGAAAGGTCGACCAAATTACCTGGCGAAGAACTTGAGGTGTATTTGGGCTGAAAGATATAGCCGTTTTCTCCAGATTTATTTGTTGACCAGATGCTCGTTCGTAATGATTTAGAATGTTGACAATTGAATTTGCCTCAGCTGAAGACGCCTTTGGGAAAATAATAGAATCATCCGCGAATAGGAGATGAGAGATTGACGGCCCGTTCCTGCTACATTTCAGCCCCTTCAACATTTCGTCCGCTTCTGCTCTTTTCAGAGTTGCCGAGAGGCCCTCTGCACAGAGTATAAACAAGTACGGCGATAGAGAACAGCCTTGACGTAGACCGCAAGAAGGTGTTACTTTCCCAACAATCTGGCCATTTATTTTGAATGAAAATTTAACAGTCGAGATACAATTTCGAATCAACAATCGAAAACGATCAGGAAAACCTTTCTTCTGCAGCATTGCGTCAACAAAATCCCACTCCACACGACCGTATGCTTTACTCATATCAAGTTTAAGATCGCATTATCCGTTATTAGTCTGTTAGGAACAAAAGCACTTTGGTTAGCCGATATCAACCGCTGTAAGACCATTTTCAATCGTACAGCAATAGCTTTAGATACTATCTTGTAGAGAACCGAGCACAGACTGATAGGACGAAAATCACTAACTCTGACTGAGTTCTTCTTCTTCGGGATCAAGACAATTATCGTATCATTAAGACCGTGCAGTGAGCAGCCATTATTCAGAATATTGAGACACACCGAGATAACATTAGATTTAATGATATCCCAATGCTTCTGGTAAAAGATCGCGTGAAATCCATCCATCCCTGGAGCCTTATAAGGCCCAATACTCGTTAAAGTAGCAAGGACATCTTTTTCTGTAAATGGTTCCTCAAGCAAGCTTGCTTCTTCAGGAGAAATACCACAACTCACATTATCAGTGACAACCTGAATTTGCTCATTGTTCAGCTGAGTGCTAGTAAAAAGATCATGGAAGAACTTCGACACCTGACGGACTATATCATCCTCTTTTGACAGCCAAGCACCCTGTTCAGTTTGTAGCTTGTCAATTCGATTCCTACGAGATCTCTCTTTAGCTCTAGTATGAAAAAACCTCATATTTCAATCTCCTTCCCTAAGCCAATCAATCTGCGCTCGTTGTTTCCAGAAACACTCTTCCCTGGAAGAAAGGTTACATACGTCCTGCTCCAATAAATGAATGTCTTCCATAAAATGTTCTGAATTTGGAGAATCATATAGTTCTTGGAGTCGCCTTTCCTTATCCCGCAACATTTTCCTCCAGCCAGTAAAAGAGGTTTGACTCCATGCTTTCAGTTTTTTACTACAAGCTTCTAGCTTTCTATTAAACCAGAGGGGGGTACCCTTACTACTTTGGATAGCTGTATCATTATCCCAGCCTTCCCGGACGACCGTACTGAGGTTCTTCTCGCGTAACCAAAATGGCTCGAATCTGAAAGGATGGCTTCCCTGAAATCCCTGATGTTTGATATGGTTTTCATAGTGAAGAAAAATGGGACGATGATCAGAGTACTGGGAAGGAAGATGTTCAATTATAGACTCCGGAAAATCATTCCGCCATTCTTCTGTAGCCACAAATCTATCCAGGCGAGCTTGGATATTATCAAAGCCTCCTCGTTTATTATTCCACGTAAATAGACTTCTCTGGAACTGGATATTATAGAGATTATAGTGATTTAGGGTCATTTGGAATTCCCTGGACGTAGTTTGATTACGGAATACTCCTCCCTTTCTTTCCGAAAGAAGAATGGTCTCATTAAAATCCCAACCGCATAACCACGGAAGATTTGAGGAGGATTGCAGACGTTTAATTAATTCCCATGTGAGATGCCGATTTTCCATTCGAGGTTGACCATATATTCCCGTAAACCTCCAACACTTGGTATTGTGATCCTTGACATGAGAGCGTATGTTCGCTGCCTTAACACCAAACAATCTAGTCTCAGAAAGAAAAACTAGATCGGGGGAAAATTTACGGACCAAGTCCTGTAAATATTTTACCCTGCAAGGGTTCCCCAAACCTTGCACGTTCCAGCATAGACAACTTATTGTGTCCGGCGGCTCTGCTGCGCAGAGACTGCCGTTTCTAAAGAGTGAACACCCGTGTCATTCACATTTCTGTCAACGTCCTGTTTTGGGCGTTTGCTCAGCTCAAAATCCTGTGAAATGATTGAGCTTGATTTTCGTTTTACATTTGTTTCTGCCAAAATTCCGGAGCTGTTCCCAGTTGCTTTTGAAGTTGAAAAAGATTTCAGTACTTTGGCCTTGCCTAACTGAACTGTGTTGGACATTCCCTGCTTTCTTTTCCACCCTTTCTGTTGGCCCCCTTTTATGTTTACCTCTATACTGTGAAGTTCCCCTATGTCTGGAATATTCTCCTGACAACCACCAATATCACCAATTTGAACGGCAGATTGTTTTTCCCGACTTGGTGCGACAAGATCCTGGACTTGCATAGTGGGACTTGACTCGGATATATTTTCCTCCATCGAATTGTTGTCTTGCTGAGCTAAGCTTTTATCGCTCTCTCCTCTACTAACACTTTGGTCCCTGGAAAGTTGAGGGCTACCCGTGTTTATGTTAGAGGAATTCGATCGCCCTGATTGCCTTCACAAGTTGAAAGGAGAAGCCCTTAGCCTATCCCCAAATTTACGTCTGGAATCATGGGATATGCTCTCTGATTGCGTAAGGCAATCACACATTTTATGACCAATTAACCCGCAAATAAAACAAAAATCTGGGAGCTTCTCGTATTGAATAGGAATCATGAACTCTTCTCCCTTGGCCTCTAGAAAAACTCACATCCCACGCTGAAGTGGCTTCAGAATATCAATATTTACTCGAACTCGTGATGTGATTCCTTCAACATCAACCGCTAAAACTTCACCCAAATGCTGCCCGACCATCTTAACACAAGTCTCCGTATGGCATACTAACGGTAGATTAAGCAGATGAACCCAGAAGGGGATAACATTAAATTCCATTGCACTAATAGCCCCAGCCCCTACAGGTTTCATCAATGAAATCACCTGTTTGTTAAACAACCATGGCCCCCCATTCAGCACCATATTCATATCTTCAACCGAGCCAAAATGGAATAAGAAGATGTTATTATTCCCTTTCGGCTCAATCTGAAATGAGTACCTCGTCTTCCAAATAAATCGAAAGACCGACTCGAGGCCCTCTTTGTTTACATGCTTATTCCCGAACACTTTTCCGACGAGGCTAGTAGCCAATTTAGCAAATCCAATATCTGATGCACTCGCCGCCACCGGGACCACCTCCTCCTCTAAGTCCAGCCGCAATTGTTCACACAGTTTTGAAATCTCTTCGGAGTCCATGGCTGGATAATTTCGTGAAATAGAGGATTGAGAATTCGAACCAATGACCTGTGGAGAAAATGAGAAATAAAAACCCAAAGAATGGGTAGAAACCGAACTTGCTAGATGAATTCAGACCTAGGGCTGAAAGAAACCCAAATCCCTCTTCGAGAGAGAAAGGGAGTTTTTTACATTATCAAGCTTTATTTGAATTTATTAGGCCAATTTTAGGAGCTCATAATTCCTCATAAATCATGATTATGACATTGGTAAAAGATAGGCATGTTTTAAGTTCATTTGCTCGGCCAAGTTGATAGTGAATTTGTGCGTATTTTTACTCCCGAGTCAAATTATTATGCATGCGAGTAAAATCCAATGTCTCAGCCCGAGAAGTTATGATTGATAATGCTTATTATTTGGCCTTAAGTGATTTTGCAAGATGAGCAAGTTTATTCGGTGACCTAGTGTCCGTTCGAGCCATATCAGCTCTACCGAACCAAGTTATAGTCCAACCGAGTTGCCCTAGTGTTTCTTGGCATAATAACGTGTTTTATATCATGTTATGTTGGATGAGTTCGGTTGTCACCGGAGAAGTCGCCAGAAGTCCGGCAAGGACCTGCCACGGTCACTGGCCGCGTATATAGCGCGTGCAGTGTCGGGCCTGTGTCCAACAGAGGCTAAGGTTGCCCTGTCCAGTGCCAACAGAGGTTAATTTATGCCTCTGTCCGTGCCCGCACCCAGCAGGCGCGAGGCACCACAGTCCCCAGTGCACGCGACCGCGCCAGTAGAGCCTAGTCCGTGTCCACGTGCAAGGTCTCGGCACCATTCGTGCCCAGTTACCTTAGACAGCGCCCGACAGCACTATTCCAGTGTCAGTGCACGCGTGGTCTCGAGCCAGTTGCTCGTGCCACGTATAGTAGGTCTCGGGCCGTGCCAGCAGCATTCTCGAGCATTCAGTGTCGTGCCTAGGGTTAACGCTAGTAGTGTTAGCCAACCTCAGTCAGTCTCGGGGCGTGCCCAGCAGCACGCCCGAGTGCCCAATTGCCTCCGAGTCGCCCGACAGCGCCTGAGTAGTGCCAGCCGTGCCAAAGCCGCGCGAGTAGAGTCTGTCCGTGTCCGTCTGCACCTAGTCGTGCCAGACCCAAGCCCATCGTGTCTGTCCGCACCCAGTAGTGCCAGACCTGAGTCCAGCCGTGCCCAGAAGCACGCCAGAGCCTAGTTAGCCTCGGTAGTGACCAGTCGCACCCGAGTGGCACCAGTAGTGCCCGTGCTCGTGCCAGCAGCCTCTGGCCGCGCCCAGTAGTGCCGGACCGCGCTGATGAGGACATGGCACGACAACTCAAAAATGCCGCAAGCCGGGCTTATCACGCGAGGAAGAGGTTAGCGCGAATGATAGGCGAAACGCTCGTACTCGAGACGGGCGTGCCCGGGCAAGGAGTTGACGCGCGCGAAATGGTCGGGGACACGGATGGCGAAGGAGAGGACCGCATGTGCGCACGCGGGCAGGTATGCACACGCAACCAGAGTCCTTGAGAGGAAACAAGTGATGCGCATGAAGAGAAAACACGCGCGCGCAAAAGAGGCGATGCTTTAGTCCTCGAGGCAATAGGCAAGGCGCACGAGAGCGGATCCCGAGGTGACTAGGGTTTCGGGCGTGACGCGCACGACAAGATCCTTTGGGATTCTACTAGATTTTTAGTTCCCTTATTACTTTATGCTTTCTAGATTGTTTAGGACTCTTAATATTTTATTGCTTTAATTAATGGCTTAGTTTGATTAGGACTAGAATTATTTTGAAGCCTATATAAAAGAATATGCTTTTGTTATTTTCATCATTCAAGAATTAATACAAAAACCGAACTTTTGTTCAACTCGTTGCCTTTGAATTCTTTACGTTTTCTTTTGCAAATTATCTTTTGAAGGGGCGCGCGAGTGAACCTCCGAACCTATCGTCGTGACCGAGGTGCTCGCGTGGCTCGACCGGCAAATGAACGCACGATCTCTCATCATCGGTGCTTTCATTGAGAGAGTTTGATCGTGCGTTTTTTCCCCATCTATTCTTTTAAATTTCG